AATATGGCTGCTCATTCATACAACTTGGTTTTCAAGTTTAGTGAATGTGAATAGTGCTCCTGTCAAGATACTAAGGACAGCAAGACTTAGGAGCCACGGCTATGGTAGCTTAGTAGCTTAGGTTTTGGGTTCAAGATGAATGTCGAGAGAGTTGCAAAGGAGAAAAGTGTTCAATAAAGAGAGAAGGTACAAGAATATAGGCAAAGCAAGCAAGGTGCACCACCAAACAATGTAACACTACACTAACTATCGCTACAAGCAGTTTATATAAGAAATATATTTCAACACACCCCCTAAACTGCTTGCAGCAGGAAGCCAATGCAGAGACACCCCCTGAAGGGGTACACCAAGCGCAGCAGAAGGAGAGGGGAAGTGAGGAGGAGGAGGGACTGTGACAGGGGTGGAGATAGGAGGCGACAGGTGAAGCCGCAGTCACACGGGCAACAGGAGCGGCGCGCATAGTGGCTACCGAGCGCACGAGGGCACCAGACTACGGGAGTATCTGGCTCCACGGCTACGACGAGCGGCAACAGCAACGGACCCACAGGCGACTGGCAAAGCAGGCTTGCTGGGCTACCGAGAGCACGAGGGCTCCGGACTACTGGCGCTGCTGACGATGCGACGGCGACCTCCGCTCTACCTCCCCTAACAGTCCCACACCCCCTTCTCACACACTCCCTTGCTGCACCCCTGTCTCCACTCCCACGACACCCCCTTAGTTCCACTCCCCTCGGCTCCCACACATCTACCCCCCTTCAGCAGCAGCTGCAGCAGTGGGAGACGAAGAAGGAGGAGGAGGAGGGGAAGGGTAGCACCCACACTCATCACCCCCACACCCGCCACCCCCATACCCTTCCCCCACGGCTGCACAGGGTCCAGGAGCGGCGTCGCGGGCAGCTGCAGGGTCGGCTGCTGCAGGGGCGGCTGCTCCAGGGGCAAGGGGCGGCTGCTGCAGGGGCGGCTGCTCCAGGGGCCAGGGGCGGCTGCTGTAGCGGCGGCTGCTCCAGGGGCGGCTGCTCCAGGGGCCAGGGGCGGCTCCTGCAGTGGCGGTTGCTCCAGAGACCAGGGGCGGCTGCTGCAGGGGCGGCTGCTCCAGGGGCCAGGGGCGGCTGCTCCAGGGGCCAGGGGCGGCTGCAGGTGCGGCTGCTCCAGGGGCCAGGGGCGGCTGCTGCAGTGGCGGCTGCTCCAGGGGCCAGGGGCGGCTGCTGCAGGGGCGGCTGCTCCAGGGGCGGCTGCTCCAGGTGCCAGGGGCGGCTCCTGCAGTGGCGGCTCCTGCAGTGGCGGCTGGTCCAGAGGCCAGGGGCGGCTGCTGCAGGGGCGGCTGCTCCAGGGGCCAGGGGCGGCTGCTGCAGCGGCGGCTGCTCCAGGGGCGGCTGCTCCAGGGGCCAGGGGCGGCTCCTGCAGTGGCGGCTGCTCCAGAGGCCAGGGGCGGCTGCTGCAGGGGCGGCTGCTCCAGGGGCCAGGGGCGGCTGCTGCAGGGGCGGCTGCTCCAGGGGCGGCTGCTCCAGGGGCCAGGGGCGGCTCCTGCAGTGGCGGCTCCTGCAGTGGCGGCTGCTCCAGAGGCCAGGGGCGGCTGCTGCAGGGGCGGCTGCTCTAGGGGCCAGGGGCGGCTGCTGCAGTGGCGGCTGCTCCAGGGGCGGCTGCTCCAGGGGCCAGGGGCGGCTGCTCCAGGGGCGGCGTCGCTGGTGCAGGGCAGGCCCGCGCACTGCTGCAAAGCAGGCGCGGGCGCAGGGGTGGAAGAGGCGGTGGCCAGGGGGGGGTGCGCCGCGACGAGCAGGGGCGACGCCGCGAGGGTCCCGCAGGGGCGTCGCGACGAGGCAGCGGGGGTTGCGGGGCGACGCGACGGGGCAGCAGGGGTTGCGGGGCAACGCGACGGGCTCCCGGGGGGCGACGCGACCGTTGACGGGGGGGGACGCGCGGGTCCTTGGGGTGGTACGTGAAGCAGGAAGCCGCCACGCGCGTCGGGGCGCACGGCGGGCAGAAAACCGCCACGCGCCCCGAGCGCGTGGCGGGAAGAAAAAAGCGTCGCGCACCACGGGGCGCGCGACAGACAGGAAAGCAGCGGAAGCACGTGGGGCCCACAGGCCAAGAGCGTAACAGCTCTGATTCCATGTCAAGATACTAAGGACAGCAAGACTTAGGAGCCATGGCTATGTTAGCTTAGTAGCTTAGGTTTTGGGTTCAAGAGGAATGTCGAGAGAGTTGCAAAGGAGAAAAGTGTTCAATAAAGAGAGAAGGTACAAGGATATAGGCAAAGCAAGCAAGGTGCACCACCAAACAATGTAACACTACACTAACTATCGCTACAAGCAGTTTATATAAGAAATATATTTCAACAGCTCCATCTCCTGTTGACACTTCTCCGAGAAGACTCGCTTTGTCGCTGCCCAATCAAGCATCAGATTTGCAAAACCTATCCTCTGTGAACCGACGGAATGAGTCACTTCGGGTGGTAAGGGCGCGTGTCCTTCGGCAATATTTGTAAAGTTTGCTTTTTAGACTCGAGTTCTTACAGTTGGAACTAGGTTCGAACTGTACTCGAATATTACAACTCTCGATAGCCGAGCCGCCCTGCAAATTTCCAGTCAAGCAACTGTGACATCGAGAGTTCGATCATCGAACTCGACTTTCTACAGCATTGCTCGCGTCGCGTACCCGTCTCGTAGGTTACCCTGTCTGGGTTCTTGACAGTGCGCCACGTCGTCATTGGGCGACACGGAACACTTCGGCCTACAAATAGCGCACGATGACTTCGTCAGTGTCACCAATTTCGCCGCAGCTATGAACGTGGTCAGAAGGACACACGTTCACAAATTCGTGCGGGCCCACGTTCGGCCATAAAGTCGACCGGTGTTCGTATTCCACATTCGGTTCCACCTCCCGCCGTTGTTTTCACGAATATCGCGAACCATCATGCCGAAATTGACGAAACCGGTAACCACCCAAAACTCGAACTCGAATTTGAACCTGGCCCACCAAGGACACGCGCCCTAACTTGGTGTTTGGCCAGTTCATATTCAAAAATCTTGAATTTGAATACAGCCATGTGGAACTCGGGCTTTAAGATACCCTAAGTGCAATTCAGTGCACAATTTCCTTCGAATTGTGCTGGCTGGTAACAGGCTTCCACGTGTTCGGTTATCACCCGTACGTGGCAACCTCGTCTTCGTTACATGGCGACTCGTCAGCTGGGTCGTTCTCCAGCCGCGATGCGCCTCTCGTACGCGCCGCGCTCGTCCTCTCTCTATCTCTCGCCTCTCGTGGGCAGAATCACAGGGGCGCTCCATTCCGGGGCTACCTGCTGCTCCACACGTCACACCCTTCCACCTCCGACCCTTGGACCTCCCTCCCACCCTTCCATGCAAAACACACACTCGCCATGGCGTCCTCTCGTCGTGCTGGCGGCACGGAGGGTCACGGAACTTTGCTCAGAGGGGCGGAACAACGCACGGGACGGCCGCGACGGCGAATGGTGAACGCGCTGACGGGCGGGTCGACGCAAGACGCTCTCCGCGGCAGCAAGCTGCCGCGCAGCGAGGGGCGCGGATTCGCCGCCATGGCCCGCGTGGTGGTCGCCGCCGGCAGTGCTGCTGCGGCGCTCATGCTGCTTGCACCGAGAGTGGCGCAGGTAGCTTGAGGCGCCTACGCGCGTAGGGCAGACACACTGCCACCATGTGCCCTTCGTGTGCCCTTCGTGTGCCGTCGTCACCATAATCCTTCGCGCTCATACACTCCCGCTCCTCACTCCGTACCTTGCCTTCCCCTGGTGCTCACAGTGGGCGTGAGCAGCGCGGCCGGCGCAAGGCCGGCAAAACCCTACGCGCGCACTGCACGCCGCCGCCGGCACTGCCGGCAGGGACGGCGGCAAACGAGGGCTGGCCACCCAGAGCAGTGACGAGGAGGGTAGGGCGGGGCGGCAGCTGGAAAGTGGGGAGCGGGAGCAGAGGTCGAGGGAGCGGCAGGGAGAAGGGGCAGCAGCAGCAAGAGGGGGAGAAGTGGGGGATGTGGAGAGGTCGGGCATGGAGGGCGGTGGAGGGGAAGGGCCAGTGGCGGCGCCGGGACCGATGGAGATGCTGGCGCGCGGGGTGGCGTGCATCCAGGCGAACCTGGGCCCGTGGTCCGTGTCCGACCTCACCCTCGGCCTCGCCGTCATGGCCAAGGTCGCCCCGCCCCGCCCCTCCTCTGCTGCCACCCCCACTTGCCACTGCCACCCAACCTTGTCCTGCCTCCACGTATCCACTTCATCCATCTTCCCCTTCCCCTTCCCCTTCCCCTTCCCCCTCATGCTAACGCCTCTCTCCTCTTCCCCTGCTCGTCTCATCCGCTCAGGTGACGGCAAAGCGCCCCCCTCCCCCACCCCGTGGGCGAGTGGTGGCGCCTGCGGAGGTGGGTGTGGCGTGCCTGGTGGAGCTGCAGCGCCTGAGGGCGCACGCCGAGGCCGTGTACTCGGGGGACAGCGCCACCTGGTCGCTGCAGGTCACCTCTCCACCGCCCTCTTGCCCAACCCAACCCAGTCGCACAAAACGTGTTGCACATAGGGAGTATATCCATTGCTGTAATTGGCATTCTTTATTGTTGAGGATGTCTCGTATTTGGACGACTGCTGCAGTCGATGATGCTTTCAAGGGATTCAAAGGAAGTTGGTTCAAAGGGGTTGTTGCTAATTGTACGTGCATGCTTTGCCATGACTACTGTCTCGCTCTTTCTTCATCAATTTACTCGCTGTTCCGGTCCTGGTTGCACCCTCAGGGTGGCAGTGTGGCAGTTGCTCGTTAAGCCACATCTGACAGGTAAAAGCGCCACAACGATTGCAATTGCAGGGGTCTCCCGGAAAATCTCAGCAAGAACGATGGCAAATCGGGGCCGCCAGAGTGACGCGCCAAGAATCAGGCCTGTTCTCGACTCCCCTCTGTCTCCCCTGGTGGACCCTCTGCCCGTTCTGTTCTGTGCGTCTCAACTCCCATTCTCCCCTCTCCCTTTTCCTCCGTCCCCGTGCACAGACGTGTCTGCCGGAGTCGGCCATAGTGCATGCGCAGTGGCAGCCGCACAACCAGCGGGTGCGCCCGGCGTTTGTGGTGTGCGTGGACCCGCAGCTGGGGGCCGTGGTGGTGGCTGTCAGAGGCACCTCCGACACCGCTGACATGCTCGTCAATGCCGGCACCTTTCCACACGATTTCCTGGGCGGCAAAGTGCACAGTGGCTTTCTGCACGCCTCGACACATTTGCTCTAGTATGCACCTGTTCAGTCTAAACCAGTATTCAATTCACTGCTTCACCCACCACACACCTCATGTGTTCCAAATGAATGCTCTGGTTTGATTCTGCTCATCAATGCAGCCCCACACTTGCCTGACCCGCTTTGGTCCCCCAGCATGACAAGTGCTCAGAGCTGAACTGTCACCCTCTCTTACGCGACTCTCTTGTGCGTGCGTCACTTGTGGCCGTGCAGTGAGGCCCAGGACCACATCGAGCACGCACTGCGCACGTGGCATGGCATGCCGGTGCGGCGCCTTGTGTTTGTGGGGCACAGCCTGGGCGCGGCTGTGGCTATCTTGGCAGGCATGATGCTGCGGCATGAGAACAACCGCCTGCACGCGCACCCTCATGCACAGGGCAGCGCAGGTCATGGCGAGGCGTCAAGAGAGAGCATGCATGCTGTGACAGGTGCCAACCACTCTCATGCTGCTCCCGCCAAGCGTGGTGGTAGGCGTGGTGGCAGGGGGCGGAGGTCAGAAGGGCGGCAGCAGGAGAGGTTGTGGGGGGACAGGGAGTCAGAGGAGCTGCAGGAGGCAGCGGCGGAAGCAGTGGTGGGAGCAGGGAGGGGGTTGTATGGTGTGGAGGTGCAGTGTGTGGGGTACGGTCCGCCTGCATGCATGACTTCGGACTTGGCCCAGCAGTGCACCTCCTTTGTCACCTGTGTGCTACTGCAGCACGACTTAGTTCCTCGGTATGTGCATCTCTTTCCCGAACGCCTCTACTTTATGGTTTCCCATACACCTCTACTTTATGGTTTCCCATACACCTCTACTTTATGGTTTCCCATACACCTCTACTTTATGGTTTCCCACACGCTTCTGCTTGTCCGTGTTTGCCTCCATGCCCTCGGCCGCCCCACCCCTTCCTCCTATGGACCCCTGTTTGCCACCGGCAGGTTCTCTCTTGCCAGTGTGGAGTTGCTGCGGCAGGCCATCGGCACGTTTGACTGGGACCATGCAGAGGCGGTGCTGGGGTGGCATGACGAGGACTGGCAGCGCGTCAAGGCGGCCAGGGACCTGCTCACGCGCCTCAAGGACCTGCAGAGCACCGCCGTGGGGGCAGCGGCAGCCGTGCAGGGGACTGCAGTGTCGGCGGCAGCAGCAGTGCAGCAATCAGCGGCGGGTGTGGCGGCCTCCGTGCAGCAGTCACCACTGCTGGGGGCTGCAGTGGGGGCGGCTGGAGCAGTGCAGAGCCAGGCAATGGGTGCGGCAGCAGCGGTGCAGGGAGCTGCGGTGGCAGTGACGGGGGCGGCAGTTGGGCTGGGTGGCAAGGCACAGGAGCTCCAGCACGTGGTGGCGGAGAGGGTCCCTGAGATCGTAGCAGATGCCATTCCACACGGGGTGGTTGAGCTCGTGGGGGGCGCAAGGGCGAAGCAGCAGGAGAATGGTAGCAAGGGGCAAAAGGGGGGGGCGAATGAGGGGCAGTTGGGCCAGGTGATGCGTGGAAGCGATGGGCAGTCCAGGCGTGGGCAAGGTCTGGATGATGTGGTTGAGGAGGATGGGGCAGAGAGTGCTGAAGGGGATGGCATGAAAGCAGGGGGGGGGGAAAGAGCGGAAGAGGCAGGGGAGGACTGGCAGGCAGATCAAGAGTGGGTGGAGGCGCAACACATGGAGGGTGGGGCGGATGCCATTGGCTCTAGTAGCGACAGTGGGGAAGGCGTTAACAGTAACGACGCTGGGGAAGCTGGAATGGAGGCTATGGTGCAGAGAGGTGAGTGCAACGACGAGGGAAGTGGCGTGGAGAGAAGTAAGGTGGCGGAAGCAGTGGACAGCAACGAGGATGGGAGCACTGCGGGGAGAGAGGGTAAAAATGAGGAGCGGGCTGAAAAGCCAGAGAGTGCTCATGAGAAGCAGCAGCAAGAAGATTTTGCGCCACCCCTTTACCCCCCTGGTCGTCTGCTGATGCTGTGCTGCGACCCCCCTGGTTGTGGCCATCGCCCCACCACTCGCAAGGAAGTGCACCCGCAGAGGCAGTTTGGTGTGTTCCCCTCGCACGAGGAGGTGGCGGGAGGTGACATGCGGTGGCAGGTGGTGGAGGTGCAGCAGGAGGCGGTGCGCGAGATAGTGGTGTCGCCGTGGTGCATCAGCGACCACATGCCAGGCACCATGGGCGAGGGGCTCAACTGGATCACGGCACATGTGGGGGACGGCGAACGGGGCAGGGTGGAAGGCGGGAGGGACAATGGTGAACGAGGGGTAAGGAAGCGGGAAGAGTAGCCAGCAAAGAGAGGTTTGGCTGGTGGATTTAGCCCGAGGATTGGTAAGGACTTGTCTGATGTGATGAATTCAGGACAACTCAATTTTGTCAACTGTGCTGAAAGAGAGAACTGTGAAGTCTCTGTAATGACCTTGTTGATTAAAGCCAGCAGCTAAAATAGTGACCCCCCCCCTTCTAGTTGGGTCCACTTGAAAACAGAAGTTTTTTTGGCACGTTTCGGAAAGTTGGAAGTGCTGTACGTTTTTATTTTTTCACTCCAGACAAGTCTCGATCTGAACGGGGAACATTTGGAACCTGTTCACAATTCTGATTGGCGGCGAAACTCACACACATACATGTGCGAATTTGGCGCAAGGTTGCAAGGCCTGTACTCACTTGAGCAGTCATCGTAACTTCACCAGAACTCACAACAATCAACAGCACAGGCACAACTTAGCGCACACACATATGCACGATCTGGGAGTGAATGATGGCCGACGAATGGAAGAGCTGCGAGAAAAAGGGTTCCTTGGGCTTGAGGTTGAGAGGTAAAAAAATAGGGAGAGAGAGAGGGGAACAACGGGATGGGAGGGGAGACCGTGAAGAACTACAGAAGGGAGGGGAGAGGAGGCGAACGACGGGATGGGAGGGGAAAGGAAGCGAACGACGGGATGGGAGGGGAAAGGAAGCGAACGACGGGATGGGAGGGGAGAGGAGGCGAACGACGGGATGGGAGGGGAGAGGAGGCGACGGGAGAGATAGCGTGTCGACGGGGGAACGCGAGCGCGATGGCCAGGGGAGGGGGGAACGTGAGCGCGATGGCCAGGGGAGGGGGGAACGTGAGCGCGATGGCCAGGGGAGGGGGGAACGTGAGCGCGATGGCCAGGGGAGGGGGGAGAGTGAGCGCGATGGCCAGGGGAGGGGGGAACGTGAGCGCGATGCCGATGGGAGGGGAGGACGTGCGCGATTGCTACAGTAACCCACGACTATTGCCATTTTAGACAGTTACCATGTTGCACTTCGCAACTGCCACGTGCGGTTACTAGGCAGTCAAGGGTCACGACCGTTGACTGTCTTCGACTGTTGACCTTCAGGTGACCCTCGAACTTCCGCGTGCTCTATATGAGCTATTGCGGTACTAGTATAGGCGTGCACTTCGTTATGGAGTGACGCGAGAGTGGAGAACCTTCAGGAATGTTTATAATAACCTTTCGGTTATTCCAACACTCCCCTTCATTCGTGAAGGTGAGCCACGTGGGACTTCTTGGTGATCCCGCAAAGGTTGGCGCAGTGCTGGAATTGTTGACGTGGCAGTTTCTTTGTCAGGAAGTCGGCTGCCATGTCACCAGTCGGGCAGTATGTGAGCTTGACCTTGCCCTTGTCGGTTTCGTCCTTGACGAAGAAGTAGCGAAGGGCGATGTGTTTCGTGCGGTTCACGAAGCCGGGCTTGTTCGCGATCTTGATCGCGCTTTGGTTGTCGCAGAGTAACGTGAAATGCCTGTTCATCGTCACGTTCGCTTCCTGCAGAAGCTCCATCAGGTACAATCCTTCGCGAACAGCTGCGCTGGCGGCGATGAATTCTGCTTCGGCTGACGAAAGAGTGATGAGTTCCTGTTTCTGAGAGTTCCACGAGATGAGCCCAGCAGGTTGAAGTTGAAAGATGAATCCTGTGCGAAAGCGTCTGTTGTCAACATCTCCTGCGTGGTCAGCGTCTACGTAGCCGTGCAGCTGCAGGGTGGCCGTTAAGTTAGCTTCGTAGGTGAGGCCGACGTCGGGAGTAGAGATGAAGTATTGGAGTGCGCGGCGTAGATCCTGTAGATTCTCCCCTTCAGGTCGCTTCATGTACTAAGCGAGCTGGCTTGCGACGTAGGAGAGGTCGGGCTGGCACGTGACGGCGGCGAACAGGAGGCACCCGAGCTGCTGCTGGTAGAGCCGATGGTCTTCGAGAGAGAGAGAGAGGCGTGGTGTCTGGTTCGTGGTTAGGAGAAGTAGTGCGAAAGGGGGTGGAGAGGTTGATGGGTGCAATGCCGAATTTCTTCGTGGAGAGATGAATGGAGGAGGCAGACTGGGTGATGTTGAGACCCAGGAATTGAGTGACGTCATGGTTGATGGTGACTTCCAGCTTCTCCTTGATGTCTGCTTTGAACTGGTTCAGGAGCTCCGTGTCGTCGCCGATGTAGAGGAGGTCGTCGACGTAGGCGACGAGGAGAATGAACTTGCCGCGCGACTCTTTCCTGTACATGCCGGGGTCGTGGGGCAGCTGTTGGAACTCGAGGTTCGTGAGTACTGAGTGTAGGTACTGCTGCCACAGACGAGGTGCTTGCTTGATCCCGTAGAGGGATTTCTGGAGCAGGCAGACGGCGCCGTTGTTCTCTTCGAAGGCATGAGGCTGCTCGACGAAGATGATTGCGTCGACCGGAGCGTATAAGAATGCGCTGCCGACATCCATCTCGCTGAGTGGGCGCTGCTTGACGGCTGCGATGCAGACAAGAATTTGCACTGAGGTGTGCCGTCTGACTGGTGCATAGGTGAGATCGAAATCCACCATGTGTGTTTGCTCGAAGCCGGGTACCACCCATCGCGCCTTGTATTTGTCGATGGAGCCGTCCGCCAATGTCTTGATTCGGAACACCCATTTCCCGATGAGAATTTTTCTCCAGCTGGGGAGGGGTCAGGAGGAGGAAGCGGAGGACCAGAGACGGGAGGAGAGGGAGAGGGGAGACCGAGGGTCCGAAGACCAGAGACAGGAGGAGAAGGTGGCGGCTACTGCTGCGGCTGCGACTGCTGCTCCTCCAGCTGCGGCGGCTGCTGCTGCTGCTCCGGCTGTTGCTACTGCATCTGCTCCAGCCAATGTAGCTCCAGCTGCTGCCGCTCCAACTGTTGGAATCTAGCAACAGGAATGGATGCGCTATGGAAGAATTGGGTACAAGTATGAAACCCTAAACGGGGCTGTACCCCATATTGGCTACCCCACTACAGCCTACACACATATAACATGCATATACTTTGACACGCCCCCATAGGCAAAGTGGGGGAGAACAAGGGGTCACAAGACCAGTCAAGAGAAGCAAAGCAAGCTCAGGGTGGATCACAACGTCACCACACACACTGAGCACAAGCAAAGGGCCACAAGGCCAGTTCACATGCAGAGGTATATATGCAAGAACGGCAGCACAGTGATCTCTACCTAGCAGAGCAAGCATGCAGGTATATATATAGATCACAGTACAGGCCTACAGCAAGTGAGAAAACGTGGGTACAACGCCTAACAAAGTACAAAAACGCTGATGATCACCAGACGGAAGTGCCTTGGTGAATGTATCAGCAGTGTTGGCCCGAGTGGCCACATGAGCAAGACGAAGCTGACCACGCTGCTGCAACTCTCGAGCAAGGAAGTAACGCAGAGCGATGTGCTTCGTTCTGTGCTCCAGTCTGTGCTCCTGACACAAGGCAATGGCTGCCTTGTTCTCGACGTACAGCACTGGAGGAGAACGAGGCCGCTCTCCCAAGTCGGTCAGCAGGTAGGTGAGCCAGCGTAGCTCCTGTGCAGCCATGGCTGTGGCGTAGATCTCAGCCTCACAACTGGAGCTGAGAACTGAAGACGACCGTGTAGAACGCCAAGAAACTGAACCAGAGTCAAGACTGAAGATGTAACCCTGTGACGACCGCTGCGTAGCTAGGTCGTCAACCCAAGAAGCGTCCGAGTGCCCAGTGAGGACAACTGGGCTCCGCCCTCCAAGCACGAGCCCCACGCCCGATGTACTGCACAAGTAGCGCAGTACCCTCTTAGCAGCATCCATGTGCACCTTTCGGTGCCTACCAGGAGCCACGTAGCGAGCCAGAAGGCCAAGAGGGTACGCAAGGTCAGGTCGAGTGCAGGTCATCAGGTAGATGAGGCAGCCCACTAGCTCTGGGTACGGGCCACTCGGCTCTACGGACTCGTCAGAAGGTGGAGCTGAGAGCGAGTGGCCTGTAGCTAGAGGAGTGTGCTGTGGCGAGGACCAGGTGAAGCTGAAGCGCTGAAGGATCTGCTGCACCATGTGTGACTGAGTCAGTGTAATGGTGCGGCGTGCTCTGTCCCGGGTGATCTGCAAGCCAAGGTAGCTGCGCAGCTCACCCAGATCTGTGCACGTGTGTCTCTTCTGCAGCTCCGACTTCACGTGGGCGAGTCCAGCAGTGTCAGCAGTGGCAAAGACCAAGTCGTCGACGTATACGAGGATGTAGAACGGCGGCAGCGAAGTGACGGTGCGCAGAAACAGCGACGGGTCAGCAGTAGAAGGCGCGAACCCAAGAGCCGCAAGTGTCGTCCTCAGTGTGTCGTGCCACTCACGTGGCGCCTGGCGGAGACCGTAGACCGGCCGCCGGAGGCTCCACTGGGTACCAGGAGGGAACGACCCAGTGAAGCCAGGAGGGCGGCGCAGCCAGATTTCCTCGTGCAGGCTGCCCTGTAAGAAAGCTGTGCTGAATTCAAGAGAGTGAAGCTCGTAGTCACGCTGAGCGGCAACGTGCAGCAGCACCCGAAGAGTGGTCATCTTCCGGGTGGGGGAGAAGGTCTGGAAGAAGTCAACTCCCTCTCGCTGACTGAAACCTCGAGCAACGTAACGAGCCTTGAAGACAGGTGGAGAACCTGGCGGCCACTTCACCCTAAAAATCCACATGCCACTGACGATGTTCGCCCCAGGACGGGGAACCTCGTCGACGTACGTGCCTGTGGACTTCCAGGATGCCATCTCTGCGTCCATGGCTATCTGCCACTGAGAGGAGTACTCACCCGCGATCGCCTCAGCGTAAGAGCGCGGGGTCGGGATGTCTGGTGCATCCGGGTCTCCCTCAGGGGCAAGCAGCATGGACACGAGATGAGGCGCAGCAGCTGCAAGACACTCAAGGTCCTCCTGCCTGTCCTCAAGGACGTCCGTGCCAAGAGCACACTCACCCCCGACGGACGGAGGACAGACAGACTCAGACTCAGCAACAAGACTAGCGGCGTAGTCTAGACGACAAGCATCAGCAAAGTGAACAA